CGAAGTTTCCACCTCCCGCTTAGCCACTGGAGAGACGTCCCTCAGCGAAGCCGACTTCTAAAAGTTCCGATTTTGTGCTCCGCGGCTCTAGCACTTGCCAGAAGCGGCCGACGGAAGACCCCTCCCCCGCCATCTATCCTCCCGCCTCAGATTCACTTCTCCGCACGTCCTACCTTACAGTAAGTGGTCGCTTCTCTATTCAGAGAGTTGTTGCTACTCTCTTCTTCGATCTCCTGTTGAGCTCGTAGGTGTTCGGAATGGTTTAATCCCTATTCAGCTGAATTCCTGAGACCAGACGAAATCCAGGTCTCCTACTCCTCCGCCATCTTGCTCCGCACCACCATGAAACTATCTTGGGTATTATCTTAGCAGATGTTTCTTTTTCTCAACTTTCATCTTCAAGTCCCAAATTCAGTTGGTACAAATGCACCTGCAGTTGTAGTGCCCTTTGGAGAAATCAAACAGATTCATCAAATACTAGCATGGAACATAAGTAATCAAATGCCATGTTCTCATTTAGACCAGCAAAAACAGGCCTCCAAATGAGAAAGTAAATATCTGCTGGGCTCAAAAAACAGAGAGATAAAGTTAGCTGAAAAATTAACAAACAATATTTCTCCCAAAGAAATACTGTACTTGTAGAATGAAGGTGACCTTGGTGACTACTGCTTTCTTATTTACACAATGAGAAAATTTATTCTCTAAAATCATAGAGTAACAGCTTTGTTGTTTGAAAATCTATCAGTAAAAATGAAATATCCCTCCCTTGGCTGGACACTGTAACACAGAGAACCAGCCTCAAGCCAAACCAAGTGCAGGGCTACAGATAAGGGGATTCTGGGCCAACAATTAGTATCTATGTTAACTCTGTAGTTTCCAAGTTAACAGAAGTCTATGACCTTGAACTCTTTACACACAGCCCTAATTGGCTTTGTACCTACCAAAAGACTGCTTCACTTAAATTTCACCTACCTCTACCCTTCCTTAAAATTTCCTAATAACTCTATTCCTTTGTCTTGTGATATGTCTCATAGTTCCTTTGTTGTGTGATCTCACTCATTGTAGGCCACAGCCAAAATCATAAAGGTGATTTGGTGAGACTACAGATTTGTCAGGTGATCTTGGGCGGATATGCTAGGAGAAAAAGCTTTAAAAGAAAATCGCCAGGAGACGCCTGGGTGACTCCGTCGGTTAAGCGTCTGCCTTCCATCAGCTCATGATCCCAGGGTCCTGGGATGAGCCCCAACTGGGGCTCCCTGCTCAGCTGAGAGTCGCCTCTCCCTCCCCCCCGACCACCCCCGCTTGTGCTCTCTCTCTCTCAAATAAACAAAATCTTTATAAAAAATATCGTCGGTAAACATTTGTTTGCATAAACTGTATCTGTTAACAATCATTCATGTTTAAATATTGAAAAAAGTCGGCCACTATTTTGGTAAGGAAGTATCTGAGCAAACAATAAAAGAGCATTTTAACACCATTGATCTAGATTATCTAGACCAATGTTCGTATAAAAAGAAAAGGAAAGAGTAGAAAAAAGGTGGGGAGAGGAAAACAGAGTGAGAGAAAAAGGTCATCTATTACACTAATTTAGTACAGTAACAGCCTAGAAGAACGCAAGCGCCTCGCTGAGAGTCCCTTTCCAACTCTTCATTTAGGCGCGGGACAGGCTCGGGAACCCCCAGAACTACAACTCCCAGCATCCTGCGCGGCCCAGGAAAGGCAGGCCGGGACTGTGAGAAAGAGGCTCCGGGGGATAGCGGGCCAGAGCCGGCTTCTCCTTTTGAAGCGGTGTTTCACACCTCTTACCGCCCGCGGCGTCGGCGGCGTCGGTGGCGTCGGCGGCGTCGGCTCTCACGCAGGGGCGGGTCACGGCGGCGCGAAGCGGTGCCGGGCGGGAAGGGAAGTCGTGGCGGCGGCGGAGGCGGCGGCAGCGGGGACAGCAGCGACGGCGGCGGCGGGGGCCGCAGGAGCCGTGGTGCTGTCAGTTAGGCCGTCGGAGAAATGGGAGACCCGGCGTCGGAGGTGAGTGGTCGAGCGTTGGGTCGCGGCATTCTCAGCCGAGCCGGCAAGGGCTTTGTGTTTTGTTGAGTGTGAGGCCTGGTGCGCGGCGGAGCCGCAGCGGCGGGGCGATAGCCTCCGCGTCTCGGGCCGAGCCCAGCGTTCGGGCCTGGTGCGGGTCTGAGCGAGGAACCAGCAGTAACAATGGCCGCCCGGCCGCCCCCGGCCCCCTGTGTCGGCCCCGGAGGTCGCTGTTGCGGCTGCTCTGGCTGTGAGAGCGACATTTTGAGACAGGCTCGCTCTTCGGCGGTGTGCGTGCATCCCTCCTCCTGGAGGAGATTGGGGAATTCGCAGGGGCTGGTAAGTCGTTTTCGGCGTCCGCTCCCTGTGGCTCCGCGTCTGCAGAGGCATAACCCGACTCCATCGAGTCCTGTTCTTGGTCGGATTTGCATGCAGTTGTGCTCAGTTCGGTTTCCTCAAGAGCTTGCTGTGTTACAGAGCTCTTCCTTTTTCGTTGCTTTTGGGACAAATCTCTTCCTCCAAGTATGTGGCTGTATGTAGATAAGCATGTTCTGCCTTATCTTTATAGATAATAGAGTCTGTCCCTCCAGCCGGGCCTGAGGCATCTGAGGCAACAACGGATGAAAACGAAGATGACATTCAGTTTGTCAGTGTAAGTAGCAACGATATTCGGGTTTTTCCCAGAATCCCAAACCTCTGCGTGGTAAGCCATTATGTGATGATACCTCACCTGTCCGTTCATCATTCCGCAGCGAGGTATGAATGTCTCGCAGGTACTAGACCCTGGGGAGCATGGCGTAGGATTAGGACATTTCTCGAAGGGGGTCTCTGAGCACCTGCAGTGGCCACCGCAAAGACTGTGCCCGAAAGGACATGTTGCGCATTGAATCACGCTTCTCGTGCCTTCATGAGCGCCATTTTATACTTCATCTAGGCGAAGTTCTGGTCTCTTAGAATGTGTGTGGAAGCAGGGCAAGAGCGTCCTTTCAGAGATGACCTGCAGGTTAGAGGGAAGGGTCGGCTGATGGTGAGGAAGGAGGTAGAAAATGAGAAGGGTTGCAGGAACTCAAAATCTGAGTGTTCTGTAGCTTCATAACATGAAGGCAAGTAGCTTGAAGACTTCACCAACCTCTGAGATCATCATGTTACAGCATAGTACAAGAGTTAATGTTCTTGTAATAATGAAGATCCCTGCATCACCAGGAACACACATGGTTTTCAGACCTCCTTCCCTTTGGGACAGTGGTCTCTAAGCATTAGGAAGTGTAAATGTGCAGATTCCTGGGCCTCACTCCATACCTACTGAATCAGAATCTGAAGGTGGGACCCAGGACTCTTCACTTTGGAACAAATGAAAGGAAATACGAATCTGTGAACCATGCTTTGTAAAGCCTTGGTTTAGGGGGGAGGAGGTTATGATGTATTTTGGGATGGTTTTCACCCAAAACTGTAAAGTTGTGCAAAGGCTCTGTTTAAAAGTGCTATCTTGGTCAGCTAAAAACTCCTCCAAACCAGTGATTAGTTGAGGTTTGTTGTTAAAGGTGTATAATTTTTGTTTAAATGAGTAGCAGTTTAATGTTTGTTAATTGCTATAGGTTTAGGGCAACCTGATAAACCAATTTTTTTCCCCAAATCTCAATTGTTTTCTAAATCAAATAAAATCCCCTATTTAAATGTTGTGGTGTTAGGATGTTGTTTCTTGTTCTAGTAGGGTCATATAGAAATTCTTTACAAGATCATTTTCTTGACATTCTTCCCCATTAACAGTACATATAGTAACCCCCATTTTCTTTTTTTTGACACTTGGGGCCTTATAAATTTGGGGGTGCCAGGATAGGTTTTATGCTGATTCTGCTTTCCTGTGTTGTAGAGTAAGTGATGTAGCTATGGAAATTGAAGAGCCACAGTGTGGGTTTTTGGGGTTTTTTTTTGTAATGGAAAGCATTTGTAAGGAATATTTCATGGGTCTTCGGGAAAAATAATTTTGGTTCCTCCTGACTGTGGTATAGAAACAAATGAATGAGACATTATAAACGGGATGATATTTTGTGCAACTAGAACTAGGAGTGACATGGGTGTTATGACATGTGCCTTTGAGAAACAGAATCTACAAGATTAAGGTTGAAAAAATAGGTGTAAGTTTGTGTAAAACTCTGTGGAATAAACTATTATAAATTCTTACCAAATTAACATATCAGCTTTTCTTCAGCTGAGGTTTAAAACTCTCTTAATTTGGGGTGCCTGGGTGGCTCAGTTGTTAAGCGTCTGTGTTCCACTCAGGTCATGATCCCAGGGCCCTGGGATCGAGCCCCACGTCGGGCTCCCTGCTCAGCAGGAACTTGCTTCTCCCTCTCCCACTCCCCCTGCTTGTGTTCCCTCTCTAGCTGTGTCTCTCTCTCTGTGTCAAATAAATAAAAATCTTAAAAATAAATAAATAAAACTCTTAATTTAAATTTAAATACAGAGAATCTTTTGTATGTTTGCATCCAGAGTTTTGCACATCCAACTTGATAGAACCTCTTATTTAATTCAGCCTTGTTTCCAAAAAGAGGATCAAATATTTGATAGCTCCATAAGGAGAAGTGAATTATACAAGCATTCCAGGTTTTATTGCCCTAGATTTTAGTCCTTCACAAATACTGTTTTTGAAGATTTGTGGCAACCCTGTATCAAGCAAGTCAATTGGCACCATTTTACCAACAGCATCTGCTCACTTTGTGTCTCTGTCACATTTCAGTAATTCCCACAATATTTCAAACTTTTTCATTATTATTTGTTATGGTGATCTGTGATCAGTGATGATAACTCACTGAAAGCACAGGTGATGGTGAGCGTTTTTTTAGCAATAAAGTATTTTTTTAATCAGCTGTGTACATTTTTTTTAGACCTACTTAATAGACTGCAGTATAGTATAAACAACTTATATGCACTGGGAAACCAAAAAATTCATTTGACTCACTTTCTTGTGATACTCGCTTTATTATACTGGTCTGGAACTGAACCTATAATATTTCAGAGGTATGCTTGTATACTCTAAACGGAATTCAGTATCAGAAAGAAGAGATAAAAATACTCCTACTGCCTTTATTTATTTATTTTTTCAGATTTTATTATTAAGTAATCTCTATATACAACATGGGGCTCAAACCTACAACCATGAGATCAGGAGTCACACACTCCTACGATTGAGCTAGCCAGCCACCCCCCTATTGCATTTAAATGTTTCCACATTAAAAAAACAGTGATAATTCAGCTTTAAAATATACTCAGAGACAGGGTGCCTGGGTGGCTCAGTCATTAAGCGTCTGCCTTCGGCTCAGGTCATGATCCCAGGGTCCTGGGATCGAGCCCTGCATCGGGCTCCCTGCTCGGCGGGAAGCCTGCTTCTCCCTCTCCCACTCCCCCTGCTTGTGTTCCTGCTCTCGCTATCTCTCTCTGTCAAATAAATAAATAAAATCTTAAAAAGAAAAAAATACTCAGAGACAGAATTTACTTCCCTTTGTAACCCCATCCTATGCTGGGCTCTACCAGGATATGCTTATTTCTCTTTTTTTTAATAGTACCATCCAGTAAAGATGAAATGCTGCTGGGTACAGTTCTCTGCTTGAGGGTTCTTCAGATACAAAAAGTTACTACTTGATGTATTCTATTATGGGTTCCTTAGTCTTCCTATAAATCACTTTCCAGCCTTCAGTCTGCATTATAGCACAGCTTCCTCTTTGTGTTCTGCCATATACATATATGCGTGCATGTAGCTAAATAAACACAATATGCTGAAAGAAAGGAATGATAAAAATTTGTAGGTACAAAAAGAGCCCTTACCTTTGATATAAATTTTATTGTAATATACATACAGAAGAGTGTATTTCCTGATTGTTCTTCTGGCCTTCACTCTGTTTTAGTACCACATTACTATTGTCTGGATTATCTTACTAGTCTTCCCACACTTCATACTTCCTAATGTTGAACCACAGCTCTAATGTTATTCCCATCTCAGCACTATTGATTGGTTCATTTACCTATAGAGTAAAATCTAGGTTTTTGATCCAGGTATTTAGGGCCTGGTGTATTCTGTAGGTAGTATATATGTAAAGAAAGAATTGAGAAAATCAAGGCTTGATGTTTGCTTGTGAAAGGATACGGAGGATAAAGCAGAGCTATTTAAGAACTCTGATTTTGGGGCGCCTGGGTGGCTCAGTCATTAAGCGTCTGCCTTCGGCTCAGGTCATGATCCCAGGGTCCTAGGATTGAGCCCTGCATCAGGCTCCCTGCTATGCAGGAAGCCTGCTTCTCCCTCTCCCACTCCCCCTGCTTGTGTTCCCTCTCTTGCTGTGTCTCTCTCTGTCAAATAAATAAAATGTTAAAAAAAAAACAACTCTGATTTTGAGCTTAGATATCTAAAAGATTATTGATAGTCATCCAGTTAAAGAATACAGTACCATGATGTGTCTTTTTAATACTATTCCTGTACTATTTTTCATTTCCAAAGGAATCCACATGGCTTTATTCCCCTATGTAGATTTAGTTTCTCTTTGGGTTTTGTCATCATTGCTAATTCATCTACTCTTTTCTTGTGCTGCTTCTGTTTCTGATTATTCCTGCCACCTGCAGTCCTCCTTAGGAAGGAAGAAGTTTTGCTAATTCCAACAACAAAAACCTACTGATTGTAAATGCAAGTGTGGTTTGAATGGTTTTCATGACTTGTAAATTTGCTCAATTGATTTTTAGGAAGGACCATCAAAAAGTGTTCTTGAATACTTTGATTTGGTCTGTGGTGATAATGAAGAGCCTAGCACCTGTCATAGTGATGTAAGTATATTATATTTGTGGTTTTTCAGTTCTGTCATTAAGTGCAAAGTGTGTTGGAGGTGGGTTGAACTGACTTGGAAGAACTGATTGTAAGATTTTCAGGAGAAAAAGATTTTGTGAGCTGATATGTTAAACATAGCCATTATTAAAAATTAAAGTATGTGTTAAAAATTGAAGTACATAAAGTTACAAGGAAATAAATTATTACATTTAAGGTAGTAAATACTCAAAAATCATATCTTAATTTGAGATTATTTATACCTATTGTATCTGAGTGGTAGAAATACTATATAACAGCATGCTCCTGCAACATGATTGGAGTATTTACACCAAGGTAAACGTCAAACTACAAATCGGGGCTTGATTTATTATTTATTGATTATCTAAACTGAAGAAAGTGGTGGATAAAATGTCAATTCAGATTAAACCTAAAAATGTGATACACCTCTAAATTGCTGGACTGTGTGCTGTATGAACAATTGAGGAAACCTTGTAATACTTGAAAACTCTTCTTTGATTCAACAAAGATGTTGATGTCATTGATGAGCGAGTGGAGTTCTGGTATACATCTTCACTTTCACTTTTCATCTTGTTAAATGAAAATATTAACCACTTTTCACATTGGAACTATACTCATTTGTAAATCATATGAGCAACTTCTTTGTTCAATTGGATGTTAATCAAACATTCAATTTCGTGACATTATTGGCTATAAAATTTTTAAAACCGTGCTTGGCTGACTCAGGAGGAGCATGCAACTTTTGATTTCAGGATCGTGAGTTCAAGCCCCACATTGGGTGTAGAGATTACTAAAAAAATAAACTTTAAAAAACTGATAGTGAATTTTTCAACAAATAGCAAGTCATATTGAAGTTACGGGTGCAAATTGAAAATCAACGTAAGTATTTTAATTCAAAATTTATTTCTAAAATTATATAAAGAAATCATTAACAGAAATTTTTACATTAACCTTTAAAGTGTTATCAAGAACTTTACTTATATATGTGAAATTATTTTTCAGATTCTGTTCCCTAAAATGCCAAAACGACAGGGAGATTTTTTGCGTTTTTTAAATGTGAAGAAGGTGAAAACAGACACAGAAAGTAATAGCAAAAATCGTTGTGGATTGTCTAAGTCAAAGGAATCAAATTTCAAATATGTTGAACAGCCAATCATTGAAGAAAATCCATCATGTTCATCAAAGGAAGAAACAGATAATCTTGTGCTTCCAGATTGTTGGAATGAAAAACAAGCATTTATGTTTACAGAACAGTACAAATGGCTTGAAATAAAAGAAGGTAGATTAGGATGTAAGGATTGTTCAACAGTTCGGCATTTGGGATCGAAAGCAGAAAAGCATGTCCATGTGTCCAAGGAATGGATTGCATATTTAGTAACCCCTAATGGCAGTAATAAAACTACTAGACAGGCTTCTCTGCGGAAAAAAATTAGGGAACACGATGTTTCTAAAGCCCATGGTAAAATTCAGGATTTGTTAAAGGAATCAGTTAATGACTCAATTTCTGATTTAGTGCATAAACAAAATAATAAAAATATTGATGCCACAGTAAAAGTTTTCAATACTGTTTACAGTTTAGTAAAACATAATAGACCTTTATCTGATATTGAGGGGGCAATAGAATTACAAGAGAAAAATGGAGAGGTCAACTGTTTAAATACACGATACAGTGCAACAAGAATAGCAGAACATATTGCAAAAGAAATGAAAATGAAGATATTTAAGAATATTGTAGAAGAGAGTGCCAAAATCTGCATCATAATTGATGAGGCATCTACAGTTTCGAAGAAAAGCACTCTAGTGATTTATCTCCAGTGCACAGTTCAGTCGGCTCCTGCACCAGTTATGTTATTTGTTGCTTTAAAAGAATTGGTGTCAACCTCAGCAGAGTGTATTTTCAATACAATACTGAGTTCTTTAAATGATTGTGGCTTTACTAATGAATATTTGAAAGCAAATTTAATTGCATTTTGTTCTGATGGTGCTAATACAATCCTGGGAAGAAAGTCTGGAGTAGCTACAAAGTTGTTAGAAAATTTTCCCAGAATCATTATTTGGAACTGTTTAAACTATCGATTGCAATTGTCACTTGATGATTCAATATCTGAAATAAAACAAGTTAATCATTTTAAACTATTTCTTGATAAAATTTATTCCATTTATCACCAGTCTAATAAAAATCAAAACAAGCTTTTAGAAACTGTAGCTAAAGATCTTGAAATTGAAATTATTAAAATTGGACAGGTGATGGGACCAAGATGGGCGGCATGTAGTTTACAAGCTGCTACTGCTGTATGGCATGCATATCCTGTATTATATATGCATTTCTCTAATTCTTACTCTGGTTTGGCAAAGAGATTAGCTAACATTCATTTTTTGCAAGACCTTGCTTTAATGATTGACATTCTTGAAGAATTTTCACTACTTTCAACTGCATTACAGTCCAGATCAACTAACATTCAGAAAGCACAAAAATTGATCAAACGTACCATAAGAGCTTTGGAAAATTTAAAAATTGGTACTGGAAAGCATGAGTCTCAAATTGAAGGTTTGATTAAGTCAGATAAGTTTAAAGATATTCCATTTAATAAAAATAATAAATACAATGCTCTTCCTAGGAGTATGTTAATAGAAAATATAATTGAACACATGCATTTACGTCTTGTATCTGACAGAAACCATGATGAAAGTATTTTTAATTATTTTGACTTGCTAGAACCTTCTACATGGCCTTATGAAGAAATAACTTCACCATGGATAGCTGGTGAAAAAAAATTATTTCATCTATGTGAAATTTTAAAGTACAAAATTGATTTGAATGATTTTCGGGAATTTGTAAATAATAATATAAAATCAAACAATGTTTCGATTCCTACAACTATACAAAAAGCTAAAAAGATAGTTAACACTATTGCAATCAATAATGCTGAAGCTGAAAGGTTTCAATTTAATGAACATAATTTGTACAAGGGTGAGAAACAGTTTAACAATAGATCACATATCAGATCTAATGACAATAAATTTATTAGGGAAGGAGTTAGCAGATTGGGATGCAACTCCGTTTGTAAAGTCCTGGTCAAATTGTAACCATAGGTTGGCTACAGATACAAGAATTAGGCAAAAATCAACAAAAGCCTTCTATGGGAATCAGTTAGCTATATGGAATTTACAATAAAGGGTATTATATATGTTATCATTTGTAAATTGTGTGCTACACATCTTATATATAAAACATTTTTTTAAAGCCCATTTTTAAACTTATATTAACATGTTTAAAAGGCATTCTCCAAAGAGATAAAGTTGATTGTTTTTAGGAGCTATATAGTTTTTTACAGATTGGCCCATGTCTCCTAGAGTAGGCCATGGTGTATATTACAAGGAGTCCTGTACAGAACATCCAACCATTTCCATTTCTGTTGCCTTTTAGTAAGGATGCAAAAGTTCAAAGCCCTGGAAATTATATAAAATAAATGAGAAATAGAATAAAAACTGCAAGCCTTTTGGCTGTTAATCACTTCTGTATGTGCTAATACAGTAATCTAGCTATGTGGGGCTATTAAGCACTTGAAATGAGCTCAGTAGGACTAAGTTAATTAGAAAAATGCAGTGTAAAATACTATTAACTTTTTTTTTGTAGAAATACATTTAACTTGTTACTTGTTCATGATTCTTGTAGTGTGCCTGTCAAACTCCTGTGTCATGTGTAATATTACTTAAAAACACATCAGTGAATTGGTGTCAACAGATGGATTCGGTGCACATTATTTTTTTCTATGAATTGGAGGTAACAGCATCTTTACCTGAGTATTTTATATAGACAATAGGAATTACAGTGATAATGTAAATCATAATTGATAATTAAATTGAAATATTTATTTTAAATATATTTTTCTAGTTCAGACATGAATATGCACATTTTTTAATTTAAAATGAAGGCTTACTGAAAAAAGTAGAGATGCAGAAACTAGTACTACAACTGGAACAATAAACAGTGGAAGAAGGTATGGTATGCATTCCATGATGAATGGTTAATTGCAGTTGGCTGTGGCTGAGAAAAACTTAACAAAGACAGTAAAGTGGGTAATACTGAGACAGTTTCAGCAAATGCATAATGAATGAAATCTTTCAAAGTAAAATTAAATTTAGTCACTTGAAATCAGAATTAAATGTTGAACAAAAAAATTTTAAACAATTTTTAAAGGGTTGATTATAAGTTTAGCCAGCTATAAAACAGCTTGGATTTTCACATGAAAAAAAAACTGTTTTTGAATAGATAATAAAATATTTCAGTAATAGAAATTGTTAGAAAATTATGAATTAAAGCCTTAAAAATTTTTTATTAAGAAAGTACAAAGTCCTGGGGTGCCTGGGTGGCTCAGTCGGTTAAGCGTCTGCCTTCGGCTCAGGTCATGGTCCCAGGGTCCTGGGATCCAGCCCTGCATCGGGGTCCCTGCTCAGCGGGAAGCCTGTTTCTCCCTCTCCCACTCCCCCTGCTTGTGTTCTCTCTCTGTCTCTCTCTGTCAAATAAAATCTTTAAAAAAAAAAAAAAGTACGAAGTCCTTAAGTAACCAAACATTGTAGAATACAGGACCTTCCTAACTATCAAAGATTAATTGATACAAAATCTGAAAAATAAGTATTTTTCTTTGGATGAGTTATGTAATAGAAGAGCTGCAGATCAAAACTTGGAGTACATTTTGTCTCATAGGACTTAAACATTTATGCAGAAATAATTTGAATTCATGGCCTAAAAACAAACTTGTGTAGCTTTTTTTTTTTTTTTTTAAAGTTAGCTCTATGTCCACAGTGGGGCTTGAATTCATGACCCCAAGATCAAGAGTTGTTTCCTCTACCAACTGAGCCAGCCAGGTGCCCCCGTGTAGCTATTTTTTATTTTTTATTTTTTTTAAGAACTTTTTATTAAGTAATTTGGTACCCCCCCCAAAAAAAAAAACTTTTTATTTATTCATTTGAGACAGAGCAGGAGCAGTGGGGAGAGGCAGAGGGATAGGGAGAAGCAGACTCCCTGCTGAGCAGGGAGCCCACGCGGGGCTTGATCCCAGGACCCGGAGATCATGACCTGAGCCAAAGGCAGACACCCCAACCATCTGAGCCACCCAGGCACCCCTCTGTAGCTGTTTTTTAATCTATTTGTTAGAGGAGTTTCAGATAAGAAAAAAAATTACTTCTCTCACAATAAATAGCATTCTAGGTAGGTTAGGTAAAATGTCAGATCTTACTGAAATTTTTAAACGAGACATTCTGCTTATTCATTCTACCTGTATGATACATTTTTTTTCTAAGATTTTTATTTATTTGACAGAACGAGAGCAGGAACACAAGCAGGGGGAATGGGAGAGGGAGAAGCAGGCCTCCCACTGAGCAGGGAGCCCGATGCGGGGCTCGATACCAGGACCCTGGGATCATGACTGAGCCAAAAGCAGACACTTAACAACCGAGCCACCCAGGCGCTCCCTGTATGATACATTTTGAAGATAGTTGTGGTCAATTTTTTGAAATGGTCTCTATGACAGGTGTAATGGGTACAGTTAAGTGTTCATTATACAGTTAAGTGTTCATTATATTCATAGCGCAAACACTATGAATCAACATCAGCTAATAGGATTGCTGAAAGAATTAAAAGACAGTTTAGTGATCTTACATACTTTGCTAGTTGGTTGAACTGTGGAAGAATTCTAAAAAACTTACTGCAAACACTAGTTCAAGATTTTCTTGCAGCAACAGAAATGCT